TCATAGCGATGACTACATTGTAACTATGTAGCTTTAAACATGCGCCACAGTATCGCACCTTAACAACGGCTATCGATCAGCGCTGAAACGGTACGCGCCGAATCTACCCATTCAGCAGAAAGATGTAAATATCTTACCTCATCGCAAAGACGATCAGTTTCCCTTTCAAGGACAATAATTTCTGTCTCCTTCTCGTTTTGGAATGCTTGAATAGCAGCCTGGGTTGCAAATGTTACTTAATTTCAACTCATACCAAAACTTTACTTGTAATTCAGTCAGCCTTTGTTCTTTCTGCAATTTTATTTCTTCGAGGATTCGTCTAAACTTGTCATTTTCCCGCCGGGCTTCTGACAGTTGAATTTTGAGGTCGTTTAACTAAAACCAAGAACAGATATTACCCTGAAACGTTCCGAACACGGCGAACCATATTTCTATGCTCTTCCTCCTGCTTTCGCTCCATTTTCATATGATGTTCAAGAAGACTTTTACTCGCGTCTCGCTTAGCTTGAAGATCATACAGGTACGCTTGCAAATCTTTTACCTAACAAAAGGAAAAAGCCAGTTGTACATGAAGATCATTTAAAACCACTTCAACAACCTCTTTTTGCGCTGTCAGCTTGTTCTCGCCAGCAGCCCGCTTTGCTTCGGTAAGTAACACAAGTTTCGCCTGCGCCTCGTCACATTCTGATTGCAAGTTTAATTTCTGCCGTTTAAGTTCATTCACTTTTCTCAGAAGGTTCTGTTCACGGTCTCGTAAAATCGTAACTTTTTCACGATGATCTTCCATTTCACGCTCCAAACAGCGCAGCTTATCCATTGCCTTCGGAATTGAATCACACGTTGACTGAACTTGGGCCACCAGTTCCTCATAGGTGGTGCCCAACGTACAGATTTCAATTTGCAGCTCTTTTACGTCATTTGCCATTTCTTTCTCAGCTGTTTCTAACTGAAAGACCCGTTCAGCGTTCGATTCTTTTTGTTGGCGCAAACTTTGAAGCGCTTCCGTCAATCTGTCATGAACTTGCTGATCATCATCTACAATGCTTCTTGTTTATCAGCATAATCTTCCTCTCGTCAAAATACACTTAAAAATAATGAAAATATAGCCAACGCATAGCTTCGCAAACATCATACTGAATTTTTTGACGGAAGTTCCCGACCATATATGATCTCTATTTGAATGACAGTTCACGAAATTCTATACCATTTTACACTTAGCAAGCTCGACTAACAATAATCTAGAATCGGAAGGCAATCACACGTGTGCGCCATACCAAAGCTAAAAGTACTGGAAAAACGTCTTCATTTTGCTGTGATTACAAAACTGTTTAAATTTTGCTGATACGTGCAATCATCAGTGACTTTTCACAAAATAAAATCACAACTTCATATGTAATTTCTTTCGTCGAAAAGGAAAAGAAACGTTTGTCATTGTTGAAATGTTGGTCTTCCTACACGTTTACGATTCGGCTCTTCTGGCGCCCTTCTTCCATGAGGTTGATGTGCTACTGATCTCCGTTTCTATGCCATCATCTGGAAGTGCCTAGGCATTGTCTACAGCCATGTGGCAAACGTAGCACGTAGTTTCCTGCATCTTTTTGACAGAGTGGTACTCATTTATTAACCTTGAAAGGAAGGAGTACGCCGATCGGGGTTTAAACTTAGGACCCATCGGTTCTGAATTCGAGATTCGCTCCACTGAGCAACTCCGGCTTGAAACAATGTATGGTAAATTATTTGATCAAGAGAATTCGCGAATAAGACAAAGATTGCCCTCGAGACGAATCAAACCCCGTACCTCTGGTGTTCCAAGCAGATCACTTAGACAACTGTGCCACATGCCACAAGAAGGCACTCGCTCAATGTCAATGCCTCGGTATCCCTACTGTGGAGAGCAAGCAACGAACAGAGCAACTGATCGCAGCAAAACAAAGTACAGTCTAAGTAATTTTTTCTAGCTCTGTCAACGAAACAGGAATTTGAAGTAGTCGGCTGAGGAAGCAAGAATGCTCCGATATTTATCGAATGATTTTTATCTTTCAGGCAAAACTGTTTAGGGGAAGGGTGTTCTGATGTTCTGCGTAGAAACTCGAATGTTAATATTTTGGGTTACTTTACGTACTAATTCCAAACAAAATTACAGTGAAATTTACTAGCCTACCAACATCTAAGCGGAGTGCAACGATATCATGGCACAACGAATGGATCTAAACAATGCTTACTAGATGATCCCAGAAAATAGAGAGAAAAATAATTACTCTGGCAGAGTTTAAATTATAACGCAATGGAGAATCTGCACTGTTGCCAAAACTTATATACTTATAGAGTAACACTTTTAAAGATTGAATATTTGTTTGTGCGTTGTTAGTCACACTAAAAAATGATATAAAAATGTTTAATTGAAATACAATTAAAAAACAGTTAATCGATGTATTGACCAATGATAACAGTTTGGCTTGTATCTTACGGGTTTTCTGCAAGGCAAAACTGCTAATAAAGTTCAGCTAATGTTCGGATCATCTACAACAACTGGACCAGTGACAAAATCCCTGCACT